GGCTGCAACTCTTTCAAAAGGACACTTTTGATAATATGATTCAATATAAAGATACCAAGCAAAGAGTCAAGCACTGAATATTCCTTATAGTCTTATTCAATAAATGTTATTATCTCCCTTTAACCATTTGTATGCCAGCAGCAATTCTGTTGATTTTTAAATTTTAGCATTTTTGATAATTTCATTTTTCAAAACCCCTCAAAATAAAAATGGACAGGTCAAAATACACGGTTGGGCAAGTCCATTTCATAAATCTAGCATGGTAAGGTGTAATATTCTTCGAGATATTTCAGTGTTGAGTTGAGATCAGTAAAGTTTTACAGCAATCTTAAGCATGTAGTTAAGAAATGGACAGACAGACGGATGGACAGGGCAATCAATACATGCCCCTATTTTAGAACCCATTGCATACTAAGAAATTGCCCTAAATCTTTATAGTAAATTTGGCAAGCAAGAAAATTGGCAAACATCACACATTTTTATACCCCCCCCCCCCCCCCAGAACTAAACAGGTCTTTATGCCATTTAAATATAGCAGGTGTTAATTAATTATCATCCACTAATTACAGATTGTATGTTCAGAAACGTTTAATTTAAATTACAAATGTAATTTAAAAGATTGTGTAATAAAATTCTATAATTTAATAAACCACAGTGGAGAAAATTCATTAATTCCTCTACTTTTGATTTTACATGTAAGTTCCAATTGTATTAATTCTTCTGCTTTCATCGCAAATGAATTGCATTGTACTAAAACAATTTTATTGGTGAAAATCAATTAAAGTTCATTTTAAAAATAGATGTATTGCACAAGCAATACAGCCTAGAACCTTATACAATAAATAGAATCTGCTTCAATATTTATCATTTGACTTTATATGCAATTGGAATAGATTCAGAGAAAAATTCCCGCATTTTCTTTTCATATTATTATTTTCATGAATTTACAGTTTATGAATAGATTATGATTTTTTTGCTGTCTTTATCTTTTTATATATCATTTTCATGCATGAACAGTTTAGGAATAGATAAAAAAATTCTATTCAGAAATAAACTGAAAATCGTATTTTGTGCTCTTAGTCCAATTTGAGTGACACTTTTCAATTTTTGGTCATTTTTTTACAATTATTCTGGAAAAAAAAGGGAGCAAGTAATTTTCTGAAATTTTGCACATAAGATATTGGTATAGACCTACAGCAAATGGTACACAAGTCTCGGAAAATTATTTCCAGTCCTGTCATGACAAAAACCTCAGTGAAGCCCCTTTAAGGGATTGTAATTTTAAAAAAAATTCAGCTATTAACAGTATAGATCCTTGTTATACGGCATAGATGTGCAGGTTGGCCAGACTCTCTACTGGGGCCAAAGGTTATCACTTTAAGGTTCAAGCAGGTTAAAGCCTAATCAATTTGTTTCCCCTATTTTAACTAGTATCAAGCAAAATATTGCCTCAATTACAATAACTTCAATACATTTTGAGTTCATATTTTCACATCTTTATTCTTGATTTGTAAAACATATATACATTAAGTTAATTTAATATAAAATGCAAAATCTTTTTGTTTATCTCATTTGAAAATTTAAAGTATATGAGTCAAATAAGGCACAAAACTTTGATACTGTGAAATCACTAATATTCATGCATAGCTAAAGAACTAGAATATTGGTAACAAAAAAAGATCTGTTGGCTTTTAACTCTCACTCCATAGAAGTCACATGACAGCTGTCCAGCTTTATTACGACAGGATGAACTCCATGCTTTTTTTCAGTCAAGAGCAAGTACTCAAGTAGAACAACCAACCTTTCATCAGCTAGCTGGATACTTTCCCATACGAAAGAGGCCCTTAACACATAAAAATATTCCAAGGTGCAGTATTGACGTAAGTTAAAAACATGCCCCTCATATGATGTAAACAAGAAATACCTAACTTTTTGCCTAAGACAAAATCAACCCGAAACATGGAACAAAGAAAGAGTTCCATGAACATACCAACAAAACAAATATGTAAGGTTTGAGGCAATATTTTATCAAAAATGTTCCTTAAAAATTCTATAAAACAATAAAATTCCATACAAGGCTGTTGTGTCAAATATCTCCTTCCCTCCCTACCCCACCCCAAAATTAAACAACACACAAAAAAAACTTATGTGTGCAAACCCAGATTGGTTCTCTAAATGTACAAAATAAATGCTAACAAATTTTAATGATTTCACAGTATCACTAGTCCCTCCAGATACCACTAATTAAATTTCACTTCACCTGTTTTCCATATACAAGAACCATACATTAACATGATGCAAAAATAAACTTTCAACATATTATTCAACTATATACATCACTATGAGACTATTATACAATGATATCTTTGATGTAAATTGTTTACACGCATGCAAATTATGTACAATTTAATTACACAGTTTCTATACACATTTCAATATTACATATAATTTAATATGACATATAAAGAATCGATAAAAGAATCACAACTCTTGTTCAAAATTATCAGCATTTGGCAAAGGGAGAAGAAAACAGAGTGTGTTGTATTTTGGTTAAATTTTGAGATTGTAAAGAAATTTACTTAATTTTTAGCCTACTGCCCACAAATAAATCTACCAGTGCTGACCAAAAATTTCCCAGCACATCCATATGCCAACTGATCAAGGTCTGCTCTGTTCCCTTTTCAGTCAGTACATTGTATATATAAATTGCTTGCCGCTATATAAAAGTGATGACCTCACAATAAAGTTAACAAGAGGGCCATGATGGCCCTGAAGTCCCTCACCTGTATATATGCCCCCGGAGCGGGGCCAGTTTAAACCCCAGGGCTTTTATTTGAACAAACTTGGTAGACACCCATTAGAAGATGTTTCATGCTAAACATCTAAGGTCTAGCTGGTCAAGTTTTTTCTTTACACATATAGTTAAAAACAATGACACACCTGGGGCAGGGCCAGTTTGGACCCCAGGGCTTTTATTTGAACAATCTTTGTAGACACTTACTAGAAAATGTTTCATGCTTAATATCTGAACTCCAGCTATTCGGATTTTTCGAAGACGATTTTTAAAGTTTTTGCTATACACATATAAGAACAAGAGCTGTCCGTAAGACAGCGCGCTCGACTTTTTTATTGCTTGCCAATAAAAAAAGTTTTTGCAGTAAAAGGCAATACAAGAATCTCTGTATTTTTAAAGTGAACTAGTTGTTTGATACCCTTGAATATTACAGCAATGTTTATATGACATAATTTATGGTAAAGTGAACAAGTGGATAGGAATGAATTTTTTTAGATTTTTTAAGTTTTTTAGTGCTTGCCTATAATACAAAACATTGACAGTTAAGGGCCATAATTCAAATAAAATCTTTGACAGAATTACCTTCTCCTGGACATGTTTGGGGAATCATGATTGTAAACAAGTATTCCAACTTTCAAATTAATATCTCAAACAGTTTCAGTCAAAAAGTGGACTGGTACTAAAAACTTAACCAAGATTCTAAGTCGATAAAAGGCCTTAATTTTTAAAACAAATCCTTGACAGAGTTACCTTCTCTTGCGTACAGATGGGGTAATGATGTGAAATAGCATTAAAAGTTTCAAAGCAATATCTCAAAGGGTTAAGGCAATAAGTGGATTTTACCCATATTCAATGTATTTTCTAAGTCAAAAAGGGGCATAATTCTGTCAAAAACCTTGACAGAGTTATGTCCTCTTGTCTGTTGATGAAGGTCGTGATGGTAAACAAGTATGGTCAGTTTCAAAGCAATACCTCCAATGGTTTTGAAATAAAGTGAGGTGGTACAAAAAACTTAACCAAGCTCAATACACTTTCTAAGTCAAAAAAGGGCCATAATTCTGTCAAAAACCTTGACAGAGTTATGTACTCTTGTCTGTAGATGGAGGTTATGATGGTGAACAAGTATGGTAAGTTTCAAAGCCATACTTGTAATACTTCTGAAATAAAGTGGGGTGGTACGAAAAACTTAACCAAGGTGTGACGCCGACGCCGACGCCGGGGCGAGTAGGATAGCTCCCCTTTTCATAGAAAAGTCGAGCTAAAAATCAATGACCCACGGGGTGGGGCTAATTTTGACCCCAGGGCTTTTATTTGAACAAACTTTGTAGACACTTACTAGAAGATGTTTCATGCTTAATATCTTAACTCTAGCTATTTGGTTTTTTTCAAAGAAGATTTTTAAGTTTTTGCTATACACATATAAGGAAAATCAATGTCCCCTGGGGCGGGGCCAATTTTGACCACAGGGCTTTTATTTGAACAAACTTTGTAGACACTCACTAGAAGATGCTTCGTGCTTAATATCTAAACTCTAGCTATTTGAGTTTTTTCAAAGAAGATTTTTAAGTTTTTGTTATACACATATAAGGAAAATCAATGTCCCCCGGGGCGGGGCCAATTTTGACCCAGGGCTTTTATTTGAACAAACTTGGTAGACACTCACTAAAAGATGTTTCATGCTTAGTATCTAAACTCTAGCTATTTGTTTCTTTTCAAATAAGATTTTTTAAGTTTTTGCTATACACATATAAGGAAAATCAATGACCCCAGGGGCGGGGCCAATTTTGACCCAAGGGCTTTTATTTGAACAAACTTGGTAGACATCCATTAGAACATGCTAAATATCTTAGCTCTAGCTCTTTGGGTTCTTTAAAAGAAGATTTTTTAAGTTTTTACTATATGCATATAGGGAAAATCAATGACCCCCTGGGGCAGGGCCAATTTTGACCCCAGGGCTTTTATTTGAACAAACTTGGTAGACACTCACTAGAAGATAATTCATGCTATATTTCTTAGCTCTAGGTCTTTGGGTTCTTTAAAAGAAGATTTTTTAAGTTTTTACTATATGCATATAGGGAAAATCAATGACTCCCTGGGGCGGGGCCAATTTTGACCCCATGGCTTTTATTTGAACAAACTTGGTAGACACTCACTAGAAGATATTTCATGCCAAATATCTAATATCTAGCTCTTTGGGTTTTTTAGAAGAAGATATTTAAAGTTTTTTTCTTTTGGTTGCCATGGCAACCAGAGTTCTGCATGGAATTAAATTCTTTGAATAATTTTTAAAGGTGACCACCAAAGGAACATTCCTGTGAAGTTTGGATGAATTTGGCTTAGTGGTTTATGAGGAGATGTCATTTAAAGTAAAAGTTTATGGACGCCGGACGGACGCCGGACGAAAAGCGATCACAAAAGCTCACCCTGTCACTTTGTGACAGGTGAGCTAAAAATAACTTAAATATATATAGCCAATTAGCATGAAGAAAACGCAACCATGGAATAGTCTATGTATTATTGTGACAAGACAAAATGGTTGTCAACCATGCTACATGGTATGACACCTCAGGCAGTCAGTCCCCTTGATCAACATGTCACCTCTTTATACCATCTAGATATACGATGATCAAGTTTATATTTATGAATAAAGAAGTTGTTAAGGGTCAGGTGACACAGGTCTCCAACTATGGCTTTTAACATTGAAGAAATTATACATTTCTCCACTACCGTTTATGACAAAAAGGGCAGCTGATATTCAGAAAGGAAGTATATAGCAGTTCAAGAGAAGCACTTCAAAAGAATAAATGTCATAACTTAACGAAAATTAAAGAATAAGTTATGACATTGTTGCCTTGAACCTTCTAAAGACATTTTTTAATTAAAAATTTAAAAAAAAATGACTTTATCATGTAAGAAATTACAAAAGTATATAACCAGTATACAACACATACTGTTTTTCTCCGGACAGGCACAAAGTTATGAAAGAAAAAAAAGGTTAAAGAAAAAAATAGAAAAGAAAAAACATTGATAAAACAAAATTTAAAATAGCATACATTGCTATCTCCAGATCTCCACTTCATTTGAACTAGCACTACTCACAAAGATATATCTTTTCAAAGTTAAAACATTAATTTATGGTCTATTGTGTATGCAGCTTCAAGCTTATTCCAACAAATCTCATGTCTCCTTTCCAAGAACTAACCAGTGCTGGTTAATCAACCAGGAAATCAGGTTGTTACCTCAGTTGGGCTCGAAACCCATGATCCCTGGGTTGGAGGCAAATGCTTTAACCACTTGGCCATCACTCCCAATTCCTTTCCCTGAATAAACAGACTCGTGAATCACATGAATTAGATATATCACCAAGACCTGATCGTGTTCATAGTTAACCCATACTCTGCCAACACTATGTAAACAGACTTGTTTAGAATTTCAATTTCAAATGAAATTGTTCTTTATCTAATTTTAAGGATCTTATGTCAAGATTTGTGTTTTTACACTGCCAGCAATAATTAAATGGTTGGTCAAACTCAAGGATGTGCAGCCTGGTGCCTCAAGTTATATTGGTGGCATAAGCCATGCCTTGTTTTACACAAGTTGGGATAAATCATGGACACAAATCCCTGTACAATAAACCTTGCCCAAGAATCCAAGTAACTATAAAGGAAAATTGGAAGTTACTTTCCCTCTAAAACTAATAAATGCATAGATACTCAATTCAATTGCTTATCTTTTTGAATACTTAAGCAAAAATATGTTTCACTTAAAAATAAGTGATTATTTTTTCTAAAGTGACACACAAGTCTATGTTATGCATATACAGTCACAAAAGATCACTTTGTAATTTTTCTGTGAAAAAAAAGAAAAAAAGTCAACCATAAAAATACACATCTCCCTGATTTACTGGTAAACTAGTTCAAACATATTTTCTTCAATTTTCATAATATTGGTGTGCTTTATTTCTGTTTCTGTACACTAATCACATAGTTCTATTTCGCTAATCGAACTTTACATAATTCTTTTTTGGTTTGTTTGATTATAAATTTTGTAGGTATGAGCTCAAGTTCCACATTGTTGACCAGGTCTCATACATTGGATGATGGAACACTGTCAAAGAAACTTTCTTTTCCAAGTTGATTCTGAAACAGAGGAATTAAAAATCAAGTTTAAATATGAATAAAATAACATTCATTAAAAAAAAAAATCTTTTTGAAACAATAACAAAAAGTTCTGCTTTTTTCTTAACTTCTTCAGCAATGGTATCACTTGATAAAATATATAATTACAAAATACACATAGAGATGAATTTGCTTTGAAAATAATACTTTTATTCAACAATTTAGAACCATTTTTAGATTTCATAACTACATGCAAATAAATTAATTTCATTTTTTTCATGTTCCACAACATTGACACATTATCAAATATATCTAAAATAAAATAAATTTTACAGTGATCACACATTGTGAATATATAACTCTAAATGAATAGATTCGAGAGTGTTTCAATACATTTATAGCTTCCAACACAATCGAACTAAAATAAATTTGTATAAACTAAACTAAATGAATTATGACAGTATAGCAATATTTATCTTGATTTCTTTTTTTTGTCTTCAATGCAGCAGGTGTGATAAAATGGCTTTTCAAACTGGCATTCAGTGCAAAAAGGTCATGGGATCGGCAAAACACAGCTTACATGCAAGCCTGCTATGGTAATATAGCTTCATACAATATTAAAATTGGCATAATTAATGATGCATATCAGCCCTTAAATTGTTGCTTTAAAAATATATAAAAAATATTATATTCCATGTACTTAAAATTAGTATCAAATGCTGCATGTGTCCTTATTGATATCTATATCTAAATCATTAAAAATTACAAGATTTAACGATACAGAAGTGCAAAGATTAAAGGTCCTGGGTGGAGAATGTTTTGAAAATCACTTTATTTTGATACATTTGATAATTAAATAAACAAGAGCTGTCAGAAGGACAGCGCGCTCGACTTTTTTAGTGCTTGCCTATAAAACAAAACTTTGACAGTTAAGGGCACACAAGACTTTAACTAGGAATTTCTAAGTACAAATCAAGAAACATTTTCACAGAGTTATCTTCTCTTGCTTACAGATAGGTCTCATGATGGCACATAAGAACTCCAACTTCCAAAGTAATATCTCAAATGGTTAGGTCAACAAGTGGACAAGAATGAAAATTTTAACTGAGTTTCTAAGTCAAAAAGGGCCATAATTCAAATAAAATCCTTAACAGAATTACCTTCTCCTGCCCATGTTTGGGACCATGATGGTAAACAAGTATTCCAACTTTCAATTTAATATCTCAACCAGTTCAGTCAAAAAGTTGACTGGTACAAAAAACTTAACCAAGATTCTAAGTCGATAAAAGGCCTTAATTTTTAAAACAAATCCCTGACAGAAGTTACCTTCTCTTGCGTACAGATGGGGGTAATGATGTGAAATAGCATTAAAAGTTTCAAAGCAATATCTCAAAGGGTTAAGGCAATAAGTGGATTTTACCCATATTCAATGTATTTTCTAAGTCAAAAAGGGGCATAATTCTGTCAAAAACCTTGACAGAGTTATGTCCTCTTGTCTGTTGATGAAGGTCGTGATGGTAAACAAGTATGGTCAGTTTCAAAGCAATACCTCCAATGGTTTTGAAATAAAGTGAGGTGGTACAAAAAACTTAACCAAGCTCAATACACTTTCTAAGTCAAAAAAGGGCCATAATTCTGTCAAAAACCTTGACAGAGTTATGTACTCTTGTCTGTAGATGGAGGTTATGATGGTGAACAAGTATGGTAAGTTTCAAAGCCATACTTGTAATACTTCTGAAATAAAGTGGGGTGGTACGAAAAACTTAACCAAGGTGTGACGCCAACGCCGACGCTAACGCTAACGCCGACGCCGACGCCGACGCCGACGCCGGGGCGAGTAGGATAGCTCCCCTTTTCATAGAAAAGTCGAGCTAAAAAGAAGGAAAAAAGGTCATATCTAACATGCAGGGGTCGTAAAAAGACACATGCAGTGCAGGTGACATCAATAAGGACTCATTCAGCTTTAGGCAATCTGTATTAATAATTTATAATGTTAAAATGCATTTAAAACTCACAACATAAAGTATCAAAGTATCTATCCTACATAGTTTTTTTTTTAACCCTAATTGACAAATCCATTGCTAATATTATGTTCTAAAATAGCTCCCTGAACCAAGGCATTTTTATTTTAAATCATCTTGAATATGGTGTGTTACTAATTAAAACAACTGATTTCACAATAATTATGTACACATTGTATTCACAGATCTTGCCGGCTAAGACTAATGTGAAGGACATACAGTATTGTCTCCTGGCTCAGCTCAGAGGCGTCAAGATTTGTAATCTATTGGTTCCTGGTTCGATTCTGGGGCGAGGTGAAAGCTTCTAAGTGACACTGACCAATGGTCATTTGTCTTTCATGGCCAATTCAAAAATCATTTGGGAGTGATAGTTGGACTGGTCACTTCTGAAGAAATTGGTCATTACTGATTAGTTATCCAGGACAGCCGGTAAGGTTGACCGAGTGCTAGAGTAAAAACCACACAAACAAACAAAACCTTGTTGAAGGATCTTTCTATTTGCTTATTAGTAATAAAATACAGACAATAGATTCACAAAGTTTTAGAAGTAAAAATAAACCTTTCCCCTAAAAAAAGTAATAATTTTACACTTATATACTTCTAACATAAATAAAATGGAAAAGTTAATAATATCAACAACTGAATTCCCCTCTTAAAAGACATAGAATAAGCCTTTTTACCTTCCCTGATAAAAAGTTATGTCTATAAAACCATCTTTCTATATCAATAAAATCACCTATTTATGTCAATAAAGGCTCTTATTTATGTCAATAAAAACACCTATTTATGTCATTAAAACGGTTTAAACCTCCTAGTTATATCAATAAAACCACCTATTTATGTCAATAAAGCTTTCTAGTTATATCAATAAAACCACCTATTTATGTCAATTAAACCATCTATTATTATTTAGGGAAAAAGAGAAAGAAATTGCTACTAACCTATGTTACATGTTATGCTATATGTAACTAGCATTAAAAGACATACATACATATGTGTAACTTTACACAGAGAATTATTGATTTCCGTGAAAGAAGTATGACAAGGAAAGGGTTGTTACAAAAGAAAGTATAATTTTCTTACTGAAAGATCCATGACAGATGTATTAAATTTTTCGGAAGCCTAACCAATGTTAAAGTTTGTCTAGTTTAGTTTTAAGTCACACAAAACACAAACACAAGTGTCATTTGGTTATGTTAAAGGTTTTGTTTATAAAAGACTATCCCATCTACAGGGCTGAGAAAGTCATTTTAGATCAAAGACAGGCTCTTGCTAGTATACTAGTAGATGTAATTAAAATAGAAAGAAGGGTTGGTATGGTAACGATTTAGTTATTTTGTTTCTCTTAATATGGAAATTATTTGGTGTTTTAACTGACTATGGCAAGTGTCTTGGTAAAGATAACAAGTTACACATTCTGCTAAATGGACTGGTCACCTACATGTAGGAATTCACAGTCCCTACTGGGATCTGTATCCACAGAGGTGAGGTTCACGAGATTAAAAATTAGCCGCCATAACCATTAAGCTAGAGTATTACCCCCTACTGGCTAAATAACTACATTTAAATTCTAACAAATTTATTATAATCAGAGAATTTCAAACCCATTCTTGATAATTTAACTGCTTTAAGCCAGTAATAAATCAATAATTGTTCAGCCATGGCAAGAAAGAAAATAAAAATATATGGGCAAAAAATATATAGGCATACTATATTGTGCAATGAAAAATTAAAAGCAACTGCCAATGGAATTATTCATATAAAAAAATCTCCCACGTTTAAGACAAACTAATTGTGCAGGAACCAGAATTATAAATACACATATATAATCATATAAGCATAACCTTTGCATAATCTTTACAGATTTCTTTTATAGGCATTAAAATATGCTGGTGGTTAATCCTGACCAAACAATTAGAGATAAAAGAAAAGAGAGAAGAGCAAATAAAAACAGGTGTTATGATGTGGGATATATAATCACATTTTTGTTTTGTTTCTAAAATCAAACAGATTCTCCTGTGTCCATGTCTTCTACCAGAGTCTGCAGAATAAAATTGATGTAATCATAAACTTACTGTTAGGGCACAATGTCATACTTTTACCACATTGTATTTTATGCCTTAGGTTGGTTTTATAATTATAATACGTCACTTTTCATTGGATAATCGTGACGTTTATATAGTTTTATTTCCACGGTTGCTGTCAATTTTCTAAGAAATCTCTTTTTTTTCTCAAAAAAGGATGTTTGCGGTATTATAAATTCATTATTAATATTCCTGACAGGTTATATGACCATATATAAACGTTTGTTTGCAATATAACCCTCGCCTAGTGGCTCGGATTATATTTCCAAACAAGAGGGCCTGTGTATGATGATGGCCCTGAGGTCGCTCACCTGTATATAGGCCCCCCCCCAACCCCCACCCCTCCCCAAACGTTGCAGGGCCAATTTAACCAAAGGGCTTTTATTTGCACAAACTTGGTAGACACCCATAAGAAGATGATTCATGCTAAACATCTAAGCTCTAGCTCATTGGGCTATTTAAAAGAAGATTTTTTTTAAAGTTTTTACTATACACATAGTTAAAAAAAATGACACCCCTGGGGCCGGGCCAGTTATGACCCCAGGGTTTTTATTTGAACAAACTTTGTAGACACTTACTAGAATATGTTTCATGCTTAATATCTAAACTCTAGCTATTTGGGTTTTTTTTAAAGAAGATTTTAAGTTTTTGCTATACACATATAAGGAAAATCAATGACCCCGGGGCGGGGCCAATTTTGACCCCATGTCTTTTATTTGAACAAACTTTGTAGACACTCACTAAAAGATGTTTCATGCTTAATATCTTAACTCTAGCTATTTGGGTTTTTTCAAAAAAGATTTTTTAAGTTTTTGCTATACACATACAAGGAAAATCAATGACCCCCGGGGCGGGGCCAATTTGGACCCCAGGGCTTTTATTTGAACAAACTTGGTAGACACCTATTAGAACATGATTGATGCTAAATATCTTAACCATAGCTCTTTGAGTTCTTTAAAAAAGATTTTTTAAGTTTTTACTATATGCATATATAGGGAAAATCAATGACCCCCCGGGGTGGGGTCAATTTTGACCCCAGGGCTTTTATTTGAACAAACTTGGTAGACATCTATTAGAACATGTTTCATGCTAAATATCTTAGCTCTAACTCTTTTGGTTCTTTAAAAGAAGATTTTTTAAGTTTTTACTATATGCATATAGGGAAAATCAATGCCCCCCCTGGGGCGTGGGCCAATTTTGATTCCAGGGCTTTTCTTTGAACAAACTTGGTAGACACCTATTAGAACATGTTTGATGCTCAATATCTTATCCATAGCTCTTTGAGTTCTTTAAAAGAAGATTTTTTAAGTTTTTACTATATGCATATAGGGAAAATCAATGACCCCTTGGGGCGGGGCCAATTTTGACCCCAGGGCTTTTATTTGAACAAACTTGGTAGACACTCACTAGAAGATGTTTCATGCCAAATATCTAAGCTCTAGCTCTAATGGTTTTTTAAAAGAAGATATTTAAAGTTTTTTCTTTTGGTTGCCATGGCAACCAGAGTTCTGCATGGAATTAAATTCTTTGAACAATTTTTAAAGGTGACCACCAAAGGAACATTCCTGTGAAGTTTGGATGAAATTGGCTTAGTGATTTATGAGGAGATGTCATTTAAAGTTTACGGACGCTAAAAAAATTCATATAGGGCCATATAACCTGTCAAAAATCTTTATGACTAATAATACACCACAATTTAGATATTGTAGAGCACTAATGAAGAGAAAATTCCAGATATGTACAATTTTCACAATCAAGCCCTAAAGTTCACACTCATATCCCAAAGTTTACACTCCCTGGCTTAAATGTTCCTTTCATCTTATATGCAAGTAAAGTGGAATACCAATCATTTCAATAACTTAAATGCATGCTTTTGAGTGTTTTTATGTTGTTTCAGTCAAAAATGACATATTCATATATTGACATACATGCTATATTTAAATCAAATCAGCCCACAGTTCTGCCTGTAATAAATGACAATAAAGATCAACAAGATCGCCCTATGAACAATATATAACCTATTAACTCTTTTATACCACTGTAAAGAAGTAATTTCAAATTATATTTTGCACAAAATGCTGTTAGTTCTAGTATGTGTAAACATTCTAATGATGTGAAATTAACAAAGAATCTAATACTTTAAAATGTGATGAATTTTGCTTAATTTTGCCATAAAAATCAGAGAAATTATGCATTTGCTTTGATAATGGTCTGTTATGTAAAAGAAAATGGCCAATTCATTATTTTCAATTTTGAAATACAATAACAGTTCACTTGGAAAATAACCATGAATTTTAACACGCTAGTAATTTCAGCAAATAACCATGAATTTGACCATGGATTTTATGTGATTGCTAAGGTTATTGGAAATAACCATGGAATCTAACATAATTAATTCTGCCAAAAAACCATGGGTTTTAGCAACACTTAGTCTAATAGATTGAGCCAATAACCGAATGTAAATTTAGCCAATAATTAGCAATTTCATGTGAGTGTAAATTAAGCCAAAAATTATGGATTTTTTTGAAACATGATCCAGTCAAATTTACAATGATTCAAGATGACATGTAACAACTAAACATGAATTTTGAGATGACAATAAAGTCAACCAGATGAAATTGATCTTAACATCTAGATCTAACAACAATTTGAAAGTAAAATTCCAGAATTATGATGACTTTGAATTCTAAAGTATAACATAACAAACTAAATTTAGCGTAGCCAAATAAATGATCGCAACTTATCTAATATGACATAAATTCGAACTGAATATAAATAAATAAATATAATGATTATATACATGTATATTATCAGAAACGTATTTGATCTTTCATTCAATTTTTCTGAACTCTTCAAAATTTCAAAATATAATTTTAATGTCTCTATATTATTGTTACCTTTTTAATTAAAGAAATATTTCAAATCCTCACCCTGAAATTGTGAAATGGACTTGCCTCACTTTGAATTTGGAACAGTCCATTATTTAATACTAGAGCAGCTAATAGTATAGAGCCTCTGGTGTGACTTAACCCATAACCTGCCGAATTTCATAAATGGACTTGTCCAGGGTCGAGGTTATAAAGATTTTTTCTACACTCAAATCTCAAGTATTTAATTGGTCAGAAAACCAAGGCCGATGTTATAAAGAAATACTTGGAATCTCAGGTATTTGAATGGTCAAAAACTGGCACAGAATGTGAACTGACCGAAGAAAATTCCTGTGATTCAAGCTTGATGTCAGGAAAAGGTTTTATAACCTTGGGACAAGCTCTAAATGTACACTGACAAATGAAAATGCTGAAATTTGAGACTAAATCCTGGAAAAAAAAGGATTTATAACCATGAAGGATGTTCTTGAACTGTCCATTATCAATTTGGAGATGTCAAGATGAAAATCTTCCGTTCATCAGACAACACTACAGAGTTTAGTCAGACTACACGGATGCGCAGGCTAGCCGAACTCTGCTTCAGGAGGTCATGGATTAATGGACAGGCATGCTGATCTTGCTCTCTATACTGATTGCTGGATCTTTCTCCCATCCCGTTTATATAAAGTTAAGTGCTGTGCTCTTTGAGAAATAAAATTTACAATGCCATCTAATTACAATACAGTTTTACAAACTTTTTTTTAGAATGATGAAAAAAATATCCCATGCTAAATAATAAATTACATTCGAATAATCTACGCAAATACTGGACTATTTGAGCCGTGTCACAACAAAACCAACATAATGGGTTTGCAACCAGCATGGATCCAGACCAGCCTGTGCATCCGCGTAGTCTGATCAGGATCCATGCTGTTCCCTTACAAACCCTATTACAAGTAGAGAAACTGATAGCGAATAGCATGGATCCTGATCAGACTGCGGGGATTATGTTGGTTTTGTCGTGACGCGGCTCATTTAAACATTTCACGATTTCTGGACCACATTTAAACAAAGCCTTTTACAAATTTTAGGCATAAACAAGATTCTCATTCTGCTTTATCCATTTAAATTTCATATTCTCCAATAAATTCTAAAACTCAATAAATACAAAATGCAATTGTAAATTTAAACAAAATACAAGCTGATTTTGAATGGAAATTCCACATTTTGAATAATGAACCCAAAACTAACAGCATGGTCAAAACCTCAAGCCTAACAGTCTGAACTCAAACAGTAGTCATCCAAAGTGTTGACTTATATAAAGAACAAACTGTATTCATAATCATAGTAAATTAATCAATTAATTAATCAATTAATTATTATAAGTCATCTAGAATTCCGACTTATGTAAAGGACAGTCATACACTATATTCATAATCATAGTTAATCAATTAATTAATTAATCAATTAATTATTCTAAGTCATCCAAAATTTGATTATTCTCTTTACCTAAATACAGTCTGAATTCAAATGTAACAATGTTTAAATGTGGTCCGCTCTTTATCCCTTAGCCTGCCGAATTTGTGTAATGGATCATCCCAGCTTTGAATTTGGAACAGTCCATATTCAAAGTTTAAGGGATTTCAATATAAAATACAAAAATAAAGCTACCAACAGTGTAGAGCCTGGTCAGACTGCACGGATGTTCAGGCTGGCCTGGCGCTATAATGATGGCAAAGGCTGACTATTTTTTTGTTCCAGCAGGTGGAGGGATATATCTGACAATACTGTGCTAGGAAAGGAATGAATCGTCTTACTGTTAGAGTTGAAATTTCTTTAGAGTATGCACCGATTTCTTTAGCTGCCTTGGCATCTTGCTGTAGATCACAGAGAGAGAGAGAAAAGAAAAACATAAACAAATAAAGCAAAATAATAAGAATATAATAACCACCATTTTGTAATATATGTAATTATATTGTGAAGCGCTATAGATAACAAAGCTACAAAATTCAAATTGAATAAAAACAAAATTCCATTCAAAAAGAAAAGAAGGGCTGTTCATCAGACAGGGTACTCAACTATTTTCACTGAATTTGCACTTATAGTATAGTATAGTATATATAGTGGTCAGTAACAACAAGTCTTAACAAGAGTAATAGGTGATCTAATGGTCCCTTGCCACACGGGAACAAACCCCGTCAGGAAACTTTACACTCATGGCTCAGAACAGGTAGGTTTCAGGAACGGATTCCAAAGTGTGTCTATAAGCTTAAAGCTTTCTACACAATCAAAATAAAATAAATTTTGTATTAACCAAAGTGATCAGTGATCACTCGTATGTGATCACTGATCACATGTGTTGCCTGATGATAGCCAATTACATGTTGTAGCTACTCTGTACACAAATCATTAACAGGCCAATTCAAGGGCCATAACTCATTCAAATGGAAAACCCATGTAATATGTGCAAGTATTTGAGCTACTGTTCAACCATGTAATTTCACTGAAATTGCATTAGTGGTATAAGATGAGTTGTCTGGACAAACTTTAAAAAACTTAAAAAAAAAAAAATTTAAAACACTGTAGCAGGCAACACAAAAGGACCTTGCGCTGTTAAAAAAAGTTGTGAAATGGATAAAGTTTTGCAAATTGTAAATAAGAATTTCATGTTTCAAAGAACTATCTAAAAGATTTCAGAGAACGAAGTTACAAAAAATATTGACAAACATTTTAAGCTGTATAGGAGATACAATTTTGTCAATCTTTAACTTGAGTATATACATGTATATAGTCTCTTGCCTATAAGGGTAAGTGGACGGTAATTGACAAGTCTTATAACTTTCAAAGCAAAAGCTGAAGGGCTCCTTAGTAAAAGTGGGGTGGCTGTGGTTTGCCAAACTTAACCAAGGTGTGACACTGGTGAGACCTGATGTAGAATATATATTTATAAAATATTCATATACATGTACTCTCCATATGCATATATATATGTGTATAAATTAATAAATGGGAAAGCCAATTAAAAGTAAATTACAATTATTCAATAATTTTCTGCATGTAATATGTTATAAACTATAACACTATGGAATACCTTTTATAAAATTAATACAACATGAAAAATATATCTAGGGGGTTGCTTAAAAAAAAAGGAAGAAGACTTTTCCTGTTGTCAGACCAAGTCCTTAAATCAAGAACACTACAGAATGGATTTAACTCAATACAGGATTGGAGCAGTATCTCTAGACTCTTGCAGAAATCATGATAACAAAATAGATAAATATTTTTTTTTTTTTTTTTTTGCCGATTCTTACATTTTTTATTCAGCATCGTATATAAATTGGTTTGAAGAGATGAATTAAGACAGGGTTCATACAGATCTCCAATGCCAAAATTCAAGGACTTTTTAAGCACTATTTAAGCATGTTTTCCCATTTTTCAAGCACATTTGTTGCACATATACCGACACAATTTTCAATCGAAGATGGGTAGTTTATTTGCCATTTTTTGTTGAATACACATTTTCTGACCACAATTTTAAGGAATTTATAGAAGAACAAGAAAGGGTCATCAAATACAGATAAGTTCAAAACAACTGCAATTTGCCCACTTACTGTTACCTTGAGTAAACATTTTATTGATTTTGATACTAAATTGGATCATTTTCTTTTTACTTTGTTATTTTTTATCGAAACTATGTTATTCTGTGTTTCAAATTTTCAAGCACATTTTCAGCATATTTAAGCACTTTTTAAGCACTTTTCAAGAGAGTAATCAAATTCAAGGACTTTTAAGCACTTTTTTTCATTTTTAAGCACTTTTTAAGAAAGGGACTCAAATTTAAGCACTTTTTAAGACTGTACGAACCCTGTAAGATATTTTAAAGTTTATTCCGTTGCGTGAAAAAGCGAGATTTTAGCATTAAATCATTCAAGCCCCTTGTCCGATATATACCGGAATACGTAATCACCATATTTAGTGTGATGCTCCAATCCTTTTTTTAGTCTCGTACCTATTAAGTATTAATATTATAAAATGTGTTTAAAACATAATGTATTTCATAATTAATGCTTATTTCCAATATAGAATTTCTATTCACTGCCATTATAACTTTAAACAGTAAAGTCAATCAACATAGAAAAACAATTTTATTTCATTACTGTATTTATTTAACCACATATATTCACTAATATAGGCATGAATTATTATACCAGTGACCTACAAACACATTGACCTAAAAACACAGATCTAAACAAAAGACGCCACATGCTATAAAATAAATATATTCACAAAATGGTGGTTTAAGCAAAAATAAAAAGTTACAACAAAACTTTATGTAAAAACAACAACATATATTATAATATAGACAAAGTTTTGGTAATTTCCAAATATCTTTCTCTGTCATATTTCTACATTGAAATGAATAAGATTCAGTATTAAAAAGAATATGTAGTGTGGAAATAGGGCAAACTAATTAAATAATCTACATTGTTTTTAGAGAATTAAATAAATGACAAAACATAAATTGAAAAATAAAGAAACAACAACATGGGGGTTTACTATATAATATCTATAACATAATTTCTCGTCAAAAAACATAATACACTTAGATGTACATTTAATTTAATTTAGCGAAATTTCAACATATTTATATAAGCTTAACTATTAAGAAATCTTGAAGCTTATTCTACAACACTCTCTCTGCTTCCTGGAGCTAACCAGTACTGGTTTCATCTGAGGAAACATGGTCGTGACCACAGTAGGGTTTGAACCCATGATCCCTGGGCCTAGAGGCAGACACCTTAATTATTAGAAAGAACTTTGTTTTTGGTTTTTTTACAAACATACTGAAACTATTTCATTTTTTTTAATAGTCATGTTTTTTATATTTTCACTTTTTCTTCATTCAGTATGACATTTTAAATTTTCATCACAGAAAAGATATTCTATAATTATTATCACTCCAAATGAATGAATTTTTACCTAGCACACACTTTCACTGGAATGAACTCTCTGGGAAATGTCAAAAACCAATTCAAATCATGCAAGCTGTCCATTGAAAAGCAGGGTTTCAGTAACCAGTTTATAAACAAGAGCTTTTATGATTAGTCGATTTCAAATCTGTTTCTGGCAATTAAACCAATCAGATTAACTCAGTTTTAGACTGGTTCCAAATGCAAAATTCAGAACATATCTTCACAAAGGCAAACATTTGGCAGATTTTTTTTTTTTAATTTAAAAAACTTAAAAAGCAAAATATACTGCAAACTCAAAAATACCACACAACACAGAAAAGCTTAAGATTTAAGAAATAAGCTATAAACTTTTTAAACAAGTACACAACACCAAAAATATCAGGCCATGTCAAGTCATGGGTTTTAATTGTTTTCTTTTTCTTTTTCCTAATAAAATTGTCTAGAAAAATTTCATGAACAAATTATCACAGATTATTTCAATAGTACAATTCATTTTTACCATCTAAAACTGAACCTATCCAATGCAAGGAGTTGTAAAAAAAATACAAATGGCCGTTCAGATTAGGTTGATTTTTAAACAGTCAGAAATTCAAAAGGTGACAAAACTTTACAGAAATTACTTACACCTATTGTGCCTTATACCTGTTTATGATGACTGGATGTCAGAAAATCAATATTTTTTTGTGTTTTTTTTTTTCCATTTCTTTTCTTTTCTCTTTTAAAATGGATCAAAATAGTTCTTTTTTTCCTTTTTTTTGTTAAATGGATCAAAACAAAATTTAAATCATATAAAAGTCTACTGACCTCTTTCCCCTGATATTGTAAGGCACTTATTTTGAGTTTATCAAAGGGTAGAGCTAGATCTAGCGGACAAATGAAACCTTCGGCTTCCGTTTCCGACTTGCTTCGTTTGTGACCAAATAAACCAAATTTTCCTTTCTGAAAAGCACATGAAAAGCAGTAAATTCCTTTCTAAAGACAAAGCTGTGCTATAAAAATAAAGTAATAAATTTTAACATTTATTCTTATAATAACAAAGAAAAGTTACAAAATACTTGGTAAATTAAATATCATGCATCTTTACAAAAACCTATGAAAAACTAAACATCATGTCAAATGATACAACTGGGTATTGTAAGTTATGTTACTTCTTATATCTTCTTAAGGCCTTCCTTCCTATTTACAGCTTTGACAGCTTGCTCAATGACAAGGCCCTACACTACTCGTATGGACTGTAAATACCCATCAAACTTACTATTTACACATTAGATAACTTGAGCAGGGAATGGGATATACTGAACATTCAACTTGAAATCATGTTGAAGGGGAAACTTATCACACTACTGTCTGGCACTCGTTTTTTTTTTTTCATATTCTGCCAACATAATTTTAGTAATAGCCTTTACCAGTACGCTAACTAATGGCTTAAACAATGCAAATCAGGGATATAAGGAGTCATTTGGGGGTATTTGCAGTCTTAACGGCATTTACAGTCTATAAAGGGGCATTTTACTATCTTCAAAGTGGCATTTGCAGTCTTTTTAGGGGTCTTTAAGGTTTTCAGTCTTTTTAGGATCATCCAAAGGCTGAGGGGTATTTGAAGTCTTTTTGGAGATATTTCCCATCTTTGCAACTCAAGCAGTCTTTGAAGCAGCATTTGCAGTCATTTTCGGGAATTTGAAGACTTTTTCAGGGCAAATGCAGTCCTTATAGGAGTATCTGAAGTTTTCTTTTTAGGGACATTTGCAATCCAAGAGGCATTTGCAGTCTTTTTTAGAGGCAGTTGAATTTTTTTTAGAGGGGCATTTGAAGTCTTTTTAAGGGGCATTTGAAGTTTTTTTGGGGCATTTGCCGGCAGTTGAAGTTTTTTTGGGGCATTTGCTGTCTTTTCATAAGTATTTGCAGTCCTTGTAGGAGCATTTGAAGTTTTCAGTCTTTTTAGAGGCATTTGTAGTCTAAGAGGCATTTAAAGTCTTTTTATAGGGGCATCTGAAGAGAGCATGATAATGAAGGTTGACCACAAACTTATATGAAGTATATTAGTTTCTTTACTTGTTATAGGGTCTGTAAGCGAACAGCATGGATCCTGATCAGACTGCGCGGACGCGCAGGCTGGTCTGGATCCATGCTGGTCGCAAACCCATTATGTTGGTTTTGTCAAAACACGGCTCATATATTAACTCACCTTGACTTTAGCATTTGGCACAAGCGGTATGTATCCCGGGGAAGACTCTTGCTCCCGTTTCTTTATTTGTATTTCGTTGCCGACCAGCGACACAAAATGCGTGTTTAGATGGCCGTCTTAACAACGTCTTGTTTTGCGGAATAGA